TCATAGAATCACTTTGGTTGGAAAAGACCTTTAAGATACATGGCACACTGAGTGCAGGGAGGGGGGCAAACTTAGCTAATGGTCAATTAGGAGGAAAAAGTCTTTAGCTTCTCCTAATTGTGAATTTAGGCCCCTTGCTGCAGTGGGTCCAGAGCTGGTACAGGTTCATAGGCCTGGCCTCCTTTAGGAGTCAGGACCCCATGGGACCATGCCGGTCCTTCAGAAGAGCATGCAAAGGGAAGGTAGAGCACCACGGGCTCCATTGTGAGAGTTGCTGTGCAGGTGCCTTTCATAGAATCTTAGAATCATAGAATTCTTTAGGTTGGAAAAGACCTTTAAGATCATCAAGTCCAACTGTTAACCTAACCCTGCCATCCCACCACTAAACCATGTCCCTAAGCACCTCGTCTACCCATCTTTTAAATACCTTCAGGTATGGGGACTCAACTACTTTTCTGGACAGCCTGTTCCAATGCTTGACAACCCTTTCATTGAAAAAATTTTTCCTTCCTCTGCCAAAGAGTGTTTGCCCCATCAGTAGGACAAAAGGGGGTAGCGGGTATTGGCTTCCAGTCATATTCTGGGCAGTCCCCAGTCCACCTCTGTGCTTCCAGCCACAAGGAGGATGAGAAGGTGGGCATGTTGTTGCACACCCCCACAAGGTTTTGATGTCTTTGTGCTCAACATGCCCCAGCCTCACCCACCTGAGGGGAAACATGAAAGCAGATCTTCCAGGGAGCCAATGTCTTTGTGCTCAACATGCCCCAGCCTCACCCGAGGGGAAACATGAAAGCAGATCTTCCAGCAGTGAAAGGGATGGGCATGTGGCCGTCTGTCCTGCCCAGCATGAGGTGGCAGCTGTACTTTAGAAAATTGAAATTTTGGATTTAGATTTTTACAGGAGTAGGTAGGTTAGCTACAGATGCCTACATCTTCTGCTGGATGCAGTCCCAACTTTTCACCCAAAGGTGATTTTCAGCCCAGGCCCAAATCATCATCAGCAAGTTTAAATGTATCTGTTTTGTAATTAATTTTAATTCCACCTTCCTGGTGTTTCACTGTATGTTCCTGAGGCTCCTAAGGCCTGTACCTTTACTGAGTCTCTCCATACTCAATTTGCCTATTGCCTGTGGTACCAGATAAAACTTTCAAAACTATTCAAAGCAATTCTCATGGAAAAAAAAAACGTATTCCTCGGGAGCATCATTTCCATAATACAGTAAAATGGGAGCATCTCAGTGGTCAAGTTATCATTTCTTTTATTCTAGTACATCTTCTTAAAATAGTATTGTTATTACACTTAGCTTTTATGTAACAGAAGAGTTCATATTAGCATAGTAATGGCTCTGAAAGCAGCTAATGATCTCACCTTCATGTTGTGTGGGGGCAGGAAATCAGTTAACGAAAATGCAGCTGCCCCAAATCATACACATTGGTTAAAAAGCCGTAAATATGGCATGTTGAGGGTGGTGGTGGGGGTCACACTGTCTATCTTCAATCGATGTGATGAAATGCTTCCCAGAGATATCATTCTTACTTTTGTCAAAAAGACCAAGTATTTTGTTTCATTTCTTGTAGGTGAAGGCAGAAGATGGAATATTCCATTGTATGATTTTTTATTTTAAATATAAACGGAAGGCTAGACAAGATGGAGGTAATTTGTGACCCTGTAAGTTGTAAAAAATGACCTTGTAAACACTGATTTTGTTGTCTTCTTCAATTTAACAATAGTTATGGGGGGAGGAGAGACATTTCTTGGAGGGGATGAGAAAGGGAAACAGGGGCAAGAACAATATAAAATAAAAAAAAGGCAAAAGTTTCAATTTTACTCAATTTGTGGTTTGTAACGTCGCCATGAGCAATCTGAAGACTTCAAAATATTCAGCTGTGTAGGATGCCCCTTAGTGGCTGAATATAAACACTGTTGACAGAAGAAATAATTTTGAACACAGAAAAAACATGAAAGATGATAGAATTTGTATTTAGTAACTGAGAACAAAGGATTTTAAATGCAACATACGCATGGAAGAGCCTACAAAGCCATGTTTACATAAAACATCAGAAGCAGTTGGAAAAATGCAAACCAATAGTAAGAGAACATTCCTGAATAAGCCACTGCATCCAGTGAGAAGAACAAGAAAACAAGGGAAAATGAGGGGAAAAAAGCTCAATCTCTATTGTTATTTTAATTGGAATGTATATTATGGGATGAGCGGGCTTTGCAGAGGAATACGATCAGGTATTGAACTCTGCAGTGAAACCCAACCCAGTATTTTTACTGATACTTTCTTGAGTAGAGAGTTTCTGTATGGAATTACGAAGTCATCTGGTCTGGTGCCATGGTTCCTTCCCAACACCATATGGATGGTGTAGCCTGAGGCCCTCTCTGCCATTGCAGAAGGCTACCAGCTTGTGTTACAATACACAAACATTTCTACACAGAAGGCATCAAGAAATGTTTACTATTCGATAGGAAAGGTTAGAGTGCATGAATTCTGTAATACACACAAATGCATATATCTAGTTAGATACAACAGCACAAAAAGTTCACGAGATGGTTTTTATTTGGTCTAACTCTTCTCATGAGGAATATATTGCTTCTAACTTTTCCTTTGCAAAACCAGTCTTCGCACAGGATTAAATTTGCAAAAACTGCAACAAGGTGAGACTAATGAAGCACAGCACCCCCATCGATCTGTTTAGACCTACTCTGATTTTAACTGTATTTTATACCTTTAGATCTCTCTTCATGTGTACACTGGATAACAAAAGCAGTCCATTGCATTTATAGAATCATAGAATCATAGAAACGTTTAGGTTGGAAAAGACCTTTAAGATCATCAAGTCCAACAGTTCCTCTTATTTGGAAATCTGATGCCTCTGCTAGTCATTACCCTTTTTTTCTTTCTTGAAGAAGTCTGTGATTCTTCCATCTTTTTAACTCTGCATGTAGAAATCACGTTGCAAAGCTGCCAAGTGTCTCATTACCTCCACGACAGTAGCTGAGGCAGAAGAGCCACTCATCAGCACTACGGACACAAGCCTTTACTTCTTGGGTCACATCCCAGTGCAGCTTAACGGGTCAAGGGAAGTCTCCTCTTTTGAGTTAGCTGGTGTGTGCTGTAGCTGGAGATACCGATCCCAAACATGCCCAGCAGCAACGCCGCCCGTTGCAGCAGTGTGTCTGATGAGTTGATAACGATTTTTCCTGCAGCTTGAGTCTATGGGAGAAACAGGGCAAGTTACATGCTGATTCGGCCGAGTCCAACACAAAAGCGGGTCTTTGGAACCTACAAAGCACTTCTTCTCCGTGTCATTTAATATAGTATGACTCTGCTTTTTGCTGAATAGTATTAGGCACAAACTCCTGCACGTTTTGGGAGGCCCCCCTTTTTAACACTTTGTAAAAGAAAGGACACATTTCTGATACGATTTTTCTTTCATTTGTAACTCATTGATTTCAGTGACCTTAATGGGCTTCCCTCTGGCTACTTGGCTGAGAGGGAGAGCTGAATCGAGCAAGCGTGGAGGCTTAGGCATAAAGGAGAAAGGACATTCTTGTTCGCTGAAGTACAAAGTTCTCTTCCTTCCCACAGATTAGCTACTAACACAGTGATGCTCCCTTGAATGTTAGTTATTAATTTGGGAAAGCAAGGCGAAAAGGGATCAGTAACATCTTTTATTAGCCCCACGGGTAGGACTAGATCAAGCGGACAAGTTTTAACACAGCCTCTATCAAGTCCAACAAAGAAGCAGGAAATGCCAATCAAAATAAAGATTAAAAAAAATTATTTATCAATTATCTGAATAACAATCAGAAAAGAAATTAAGTTCCTGTTGCTTTCCTAGTATGTATGATACACTGACCAAGAAGCAGAAACACAGTTGCATGGACTGCTATACTATGCATATTGGTGCTGTGAGTTAAAACATACCACGTGTCTTTCTAGTTGCAGCATTTCTCATATGAATGATGGCTAGGACTCAAATAGTGGTTTTTTTTAGTTGGAAAAAGCTGAACAGAAAGCATGGCACCACTGACAGGACTGACAAATTCCAAGGAGTTTGATTTTTACTTCCAGATTCTGTTTTTTATGTGAGCTTAAATAATTGGAGCCGAGTGCTCTGACCTTGATACATGTGGCTGGCAGTGTGGCTACTTCAGCAGCAGAATAAATAAAGACAAAAGAAATTCCAAATAAAATTACTAGGTAAGGTGATATCAAATGCTATGTGTGGAGGCGTGAAAGAAATTCACTGCTAGGACTGAAACACAGTGTCCTCAGCTCAGCCTCTCCACTGCTCAACTACCACCTCTCAGCTACTACAGGCTATGAATTTGGATGCAGATCCCATTGCTAAGAGTTGTGAGACTTTCCAAGAAAAGGATATATACTCTGTACATATCAAAATACGGAGTACAGTAAAAAAGATGCTCTACTTTGGTATATATATATATTTGGGCTTTCTTATTCTCAATTATGGAGCTCATTTAAAACATTTTCTATGCATACTTTTATTTTTTTCTTCATGTAATGATCGATACTCTGGTCCCCCAATGGTCCCAGAGGTCAATACTGATTGAGGTTTCTTTATCAGAACCATAGAAGCTGGTTGAAATGTTTCACTGACAGCTCATTTGAGTTAGGAACCCAGGATCCTTCTTCCCATTAACATTTCCTACTGCCCCAAACACAGAAAGCCATTGCAAGAGAAAATGATGGCGAAGTAGTTTCTGTGGAAGCACTGCAGAAATATAAACTCCTTCCAAGTATTCCGCATTCCAGCATGATACCAGTTATCAAGAATTATCATAATTCATTTACTTTTCAGCAGAGGCTTAATTAAGACTTCTTTGAGTTGTTATGCAAGTTAACCCACCAGAAGCCAGTGTTCCCTTGGGTTGGCCATGCAATAATTTGAAATAAAATCAGTGTGAGTAAGAGAAATATTGGTATTTCAAAGATCTAATTAAAAGCAGAAAAGAAGAATTTTCATACCTGCAACAATCTTATATACCCAGGTGTCATTCTCCGAAGAGGGATAACCATGATTTCTGAATCTTCGTAGAACTTCAGCCCCTACAGTATTAGAACACACAAAACATTACAAAATTCCAGGGATTTTTTTACAAGTTGACCCCCCAAGGAAACAGAAGATGTATTCTACTATGGTTTTCCAAGAAGCACGGTATGCAAACATTCTTTCCTCACCTGATGCTCTTTTCCCTCGAGCCCTAGAGGTGCTTAGGGTCCTAGGGGTATATAAAGCCCAGCTCGGTTGCATAAGCTGTCACATGGGATCTGTCTGCACTGCTGGGGTGTTGGCAGAGCCGAGACTGTCCCGCCTGGGGCCAGGTATGTCTTGCAATATTGGAAAACTATCTGGGAATGCCTGAAGCTCATTAAGAGAGCAACGCGACAGCTGACCTCCTTAAGAACAAAAAGGCCTAAGCCTGCTTTATAGATAGCACTGGACATACAAAGAAGGAGGTCATTATAGCATTTCGTATCATAGAGTGAGAATGCAAATAGGATTGGATGGCTTTTATGTAACTTAGAGCATATATTTATACCCACAGGACGACCGGATGGGGTAGGAAGCTTAATGCAGCCATGACCTGAGTTGAAAGGATGTGCTAATATAATAGGGTTATTTGGAGGCACATTTAAAAATAAATTCTTTCTTTTCTGACAGCGTTCTTTTTTACTCAGCTTTTTCTACTGCTAAATCTTTACCACTAAGACATACTTAATCTAATACTTATTATTACTGTTATTACTATTTTCTGTTAACAGTGATTTCTTTTCACTGTACCAAGCTTGGATTCAGTTCTGCTCCTGGGATCATATAGTTCACAATGTGAGAAATTGTGGTACAATCTGATCTACAAAATTAATTTCTCTATTCTTTAGGAGTGTCTGTGGATAGACTGTGCTGAGAAAGCTCCTTTCCCCCATTATCAATACACGCAACCTTGAATATGGATAGCAAGGCAGAATGTGGCTCTAGCTGCAGTCACACTTCTAAACATGGGGGGTAAAAATCTCCAGGTGGTGTAAATCAGTGCAGCACCAGTGTGCACAGTGAGCCCATGTTGGGTTTCACCACAAGCGCTCCCCAGAGTGTAAAAGAGCAGAAACATGAATTGTTTCGATTCGGAGAAATATCCTACATTAGGTTATTCCACAACGATACCACTTATCAAGAATTCTCATAACTCATTTACTTTTCAGCAGATGTTTAATTAATGTTATAGAAAGGAACGATGCTGTTTTCTTCTGAAGCTCTTCTTACATAGCACGCAGCGGGCAGGTCTCATTTTCCTCTCGCCACACCGCGTTTATACCACGTGAGCCCCACCGGCACCTCTGGCGCTACGTCTCATTCACAAAAAAGGTAACTTAAGTTGAACTAGTCCTATAGCATCGATCTAAATGCTAAAAGCAAAAGCAAGAGGCTGGGAACCTGCCAATCTGTTGGGTTTTTTTAAATATGCAACTTGCACAGTGACCCCATGCTAAACCTTAAGTGCTGTGTATCTTGGCTATAGGAAACATTGCATTAACGGGAAACAATCAACATAAAACCGGGAGCTGACTGAAGTTAATGGAAAGCCTACCAGTAAATACAAGTCATAGTGCCTGCCCAAACGCATTTGGGATGAAAACCTATACTATAAAAAGGCAAAGGCTTTTTCCTTGTTCTTGTTTCTCACCGCATGCCCCATGCTAACTCTCCTGCACAAACAGGAGCGCACCTGGGCTTGCTGCCCAGAGCCGGGCAAAGCTAACGCTGCAGAGTCCGTGTTCTTCTGCGCATACACAGAACGCTGAGTTTTTCCTTAAATTTCCAGCCTTGCCTGCACTCAAAGAAAAACCTGCTTACTGCAGTATCAGAGTTTCAGGAGCTGCAAAAAAAAAATGCGGTACTAACAATTTCTGTCATTTTGTGTGTAATTCTTTCCATTCGGAGAACGGCAGTGAGATTCCTGTGGCACGGTATTCAGAAAGGGAGAGTTTTCCAACCAAG